CCCTTAATTGATGATTTCCGGGATAAAGAGTATCCTATGTCCTTCCCAGGGTCTCAAGCTATCTTCTTAACTTTCATCCAAATCGATTCAGTAGATCCAGAGATTACCTCCCTACAACCTCAAAACTCACTAACTTTACCTCTTTACAATTATACAGTATAGACAACTACTAAATTTATTAACATAACATGTAATTTTTACGTTTGCAAATTATAATTACACCAATGAATTGGTATTTTACCTAAGAAAGTCTGAGACGAATGAAAAACTATCCTGTACATTGCTTTACAGATATTTTTATTCAACACGGTTGTTATTTGTTCTGTTCCTGTTCACCGCCTAAACCAATCTCAATACAGCTAAGTAACCAAATCTACATTCTTTGGTTGGTCGCAAATAGCTTTACGTGGTCGCGACACAAATTTATTAATATTGCTGACAGCTAACAATTAATGATCAATTGTAAATTGCTACAATGACTGCGACTGGTAAACAATTATGTAGGTATCTAATAAGATTCTGTAACACGATTTCTGTAGGGGCTGGATCATGTCCCTAGTTTGACGATGATTAATTGAGCTCAACCTCTCGCAAGAAATATTAAGTCAAGGAATATTAAGCGCTGTATCCGTATTATATTTTGTAACCAATTTTTTTCTACGACCTACTCGTAAAAGCAACAAGTTCAATATTAGGAAGATATTTAAAAAACATGCCTATTATGGTAATGTTAATTATTACATTGTTAATTAAGAACACTTAAAATAATAAAGGAGTAGTAAGACAGTCATATTTACCTTAAAAACTCTTGAAATTATAGTAGAACAACCAGTGACCTCGATGATACTTTCCAATTTCCATATTCCTAATTTCGGGGAAAAATACTTACATTCAAAATTCCATTACCGATTTAATTCATTTAGGGCATAAAATTTAAAACTTTATCCTTATTTCTCTCCTTCTTTATAAGATGAAATCTTGTACAAATTTTCATGCTTCTTTCTAAACCCAGCAGTGCAGGTTCTGCGATGTCTGTCAAGAGTAAAAGAATTTATGAATTTAATATATTTATCATCTATAACACTAATATACATTATAAGGTATACGTTTTGAACGTGTTACTTCTCTCTGAAGCAGCTTTGAAAAATCATAAGAGAAAAATCCGCGTTTAAAAATAAAAACTAGTACTCAATATTTTTCAAATATGTTTGGGACGTTAGTAGCTATATCATCGATTGTTAGAATTTTAAACATCAATGAGACTTTTAACAACATCTATATACTTAAGACTGCAATCAAATTTTTCATTTTTAATTGTCGTATCGCCTTCCGACATCCGACGATATTTCGTAACCGTAACCCGAGTGAAGCCAGGGTGGGTCGCTAGCACTAAATAAAAATACGTTCGTGAGAAATGTCAATATACATGACCTCCTATTATATTTGCAGAATTACAAATAAACTATAGGTATAGAGTGAACATTAAAAGAGCAACTTGTGACATTATAAATGTCATTTAAAATATAATTTATCATTCAAACCAATTCACTTATTAACATGAAATAGTAATTTAAGTAAAACCTATAATTGTTTAAAGTATTAATACTATATACCATTTTTTTTTTCCTGTATCATGAAACGCGGTTTGGATTCGAGTGAAGTTAAAATTTGGATTCATTTTATTCATTTTTTAGGCGAAGGACATCCGTAAAGAAAATTCTACTTGATTTCATTATCGACACAATAATTTATTTACGTTATCAGTGAGCCCTGAGCCACGGAATGAAAAGAAAGAATTGAAAGACATTGCAATAATTGACAAATTGTAAATTTTTTCTTAGTGTTGATACGAAGCTAATTACTTCACTTATTTTTAAGTTTAACTGACTAATGAAATTAAGCACAGAATATCATTATATTGTATAGGTAATAGTTCTAGTTTTATTGATACAGAATTTCAATAGAACATTTTATTGGCTTATAAAAAAATTAAAACTCTGCATAAAAGATAATAATAAATTCATCGTGATATGGCCTTGCACACTAGAACAATCTAGAAAATCTAGCTAAAAATGAAGGTTGTTAACGAGGATGGGCAGTCTAGCTCTCATATAAAGATGTTATATGTAAATCAGAGTGTCCTATTTAGCCGGTCTGTCGAGAATAATTCAAGATTCTTTCGTTTGCATGTACCATTGTACTCTGTTACGCCACCCACCGCAACCTTGCTGTCACTCGTGGGTACGCTTGGTTACTAAGTATTCACATATTTTTATATTTCTATTCTCTGATTGGATCTATAGTTTTTTATAGGTTGTAGCTGTTTCCAAATAAAATTCAAATATTTTAGAGTACGCATTAGTAGTACTCATTATTGTTAGTATTTTCAACATTTTGTAATTGTATATTACAAATTATATATTACAAATTTATTTAATCGTTTTACAGATAAGGTAATTTATATTTATTTCATTTTTATATTAGAACATTTTACAAGACACTCTTACTTTTTTCTCAATATAACTTTTTTTTTAGTTTACCAAAACTTTTTGTGCCTTTAATAAAAGTTATTGTCCAGTCGAATTTTAACAGGGACTTAAAATAGATTTTATCACAATCATTATTCCTCGTATACAAACCGTTTAAAAATGTCACTTCAATCAAGTATTCGGCTGTTTCAATTCGCGTAGTTAAATCGCTATTTAATCCCCCTAAAATTCAAGACATACCTAAAGGCAAGTTAATGCAAAACAGCAACGTAACCATAATGACAATACTCTATAACCGGCTCACGTACTGTGCTGTCAACTTTCGCAATGCCACCTCGCGGTGTTCAAATAGTGAGTAGTCTTGAAGGCTGAATAGCAGTCGAGGTGAGGACTGCGTAAAATACCGCTTTACCATAAAAACTTCGGCCTCGTTTGCGTTAAATAAACAATTTCTCCATTCGAATGAATATTCGATTCGTTAAGACATCAGACTGTATTAATTAATTGAAATATAATCAGTGCCTTCTTTTCGTTTTTTTCTAGCGGCTCGGGTTCGTCCCTAGCTTGTTTCCCCATACAAACTTTCACCCCCTTAAGGGATGATTTCCAAGATAAAAAGTATCCTATGTCCTTCCCAGAGCCTCAAACTATCTTCTTACCAAATTTCATCTAAATCGGCTCAGTAGATCCAGAAATTACCCCCTACAACGTCACAAACTCACAAGCTCACAAACTTTACCTCTTTATAATATTATATTATTATAGATGATTATTCTAATAGTGTAAGTTTAGTAAGGGTAAAAATTGTTGATCAGCGAAAATAATGCCTAGAATTATGAAAATATATAGTACCAACTATTACTTGAGGGTACCGTGATAATCAATCCAACTAGGAGCCCCTGAAGGTGCGCTGTGAGGCTACGGTGGGGGATTAGGAATGGTCCTATTTGTCAGGTTTTTACTTATATCTCGAAAACTGAATATAAATAATATCATTACGATTACTTCTACATAAATTACTGCATTAAATTTTCTACACATTGCTTTGTATACATTTTTTTTTACTGTATGATCAATACTCTAGGAAGTTTTATCATTACTGTTAACTGTGTATTTTCACGTACCTTTAAGCCATTTTGTTAGTTGTTCATAAATACTTTGCTTAGTAACTTCAAATCTTTATAAAGACTTCAATCGTTGGTTTAAGTTAAAAACTTACTAAAATGGATTAAAAAGAGAAGTTATAAAAACCAAATATAACTGTCTGTTACTAGGTAGGTACTGTTAACTAACATAAGTGTCCCATTTAAATTAAAATTTCTCCATATTATATTCAATAAAAAAATCATTCCTAAAAACATTTTTTTTGCCTTTATGTTTGAGTAATTTTATTAAAGTTCATGTAATTACTTGCATAGTATATTCTTCTTTATGATTATTTTATTTAAAACCACTCTGATCTTTACTTTGCTGAAACTTAAATCGAAAACTTAAGTGTTTGTTAACTTAAATCGAAAAGAAGACCTTCCTACCTAAACCTCTTATTAACTCTTCGAAAACTTAAACAACTACTCTAAAATTTAAAGTAAGTTCGTCCTTAACCCATCTGCTAAACTAATGAAAACTTTTTTTTTTATTTTATTGCAGAAGACCTTTTTTAATCATCTTTATTTTTCATTTACTGGTTTATCATACCGATTTTTCGAAATCAATCTAGCTTTTGCACGTACTTAACGCATAACTTATACTTTCATTTAATATCACTACGAGTCCTACTATTCATATTATTAGAAAATAAGTGGGTAAAACTAAACAGAAAATACAAAATAAAAATTTAAATAAAGGTAACCAAAACAAAATCTAAACTAAAATCTGCTAAATATTTATTTATTATTTTTAAATAAATAAATTTATACAAAATCCTTTTTATCCGGTAAGCAGATGAGTGAAGGACATTACTTCGTATCTTCTACTAAACGTTTTTAAACGAGTCGCCATGTTGCAAGATATCCATCCTCCTTGACCGATACCTAGTAATTGTAGTAATTAATACTGATTATATTTATTGTGGACGTCGACAATAATTATATTTATATTTACATAACACCTCGAAAGTAAATACTTAAATGATGATTTAGAAAATACAATGAAATACATTGAAGGAAATATCTTACAATGAGCTGATGTAATAAAACTTGGATATTGCCATTTATCGCCCATTTCTTTTTTATGAACTCATAATATTTTTGAAAATTTATCTGTACCTACATATTCTTCTACGATAAATATATAAACAACGAACATATTTTATAGACGCGATATTATTTATTCATTCTTATTTATCGCTATCACATATACAGTACAAAATATTATCGGTCATAACTGGGCCATGATCGTAAACTAACGCTGCTTGTAAGTTATTTTCCTCTTGTCAGTTTTCTGAATCTCTCAATTTCTATGGATAGTACGGTTCAGTGGCGCGACTTCCGATATCGGAATAGTTTATGGGCAATGTCATGCGTACGTGCCGGGACTACCGGGGGTGGTAAATTCTTGGTTAGTTAGTTCGTTCTTGATTTCCTATACGCATTTCAGATACCAACCTAACCAACCTAATACCAAACTATCATAACTGGTTACTGAACTTTAACATGTACAAATTACTTTTATGTATTTAGTAAATAGTCATGATTTATGGCATAATGTATTTCGTAGAATCTAAAACTCCTTATATTACTTAATGTGCCGTTTACCTTTTAGAATGGATATTTAATATAAACAACTTTTAAATATCAATAACATATAGATTAAAATTCAAACGATTATTAGTTTTGCAATAAAACTCGATTTCTATACTTTAAGGACTTAGGTAAACTCATAATTCAATTAAGGTTCATAATTTAATTATATTTAAACATAACATATTTCATATATTTTTATTTTTTAAATGTTATATCTGGCCAAAACGACGTTTAAATAGATAAAAAATAATTTTAATACGTAGGTAGGTTTTGCGAAGAAATGTGTGTAGAAATACAGTTGTTAGAACAAATTGTGGATATCGGTGATGGCACAGTGGTGCTCAATAGGACACACAGGGCGGCACATGGAGCGCGAGGGGGCGGGCGGCAGCCACGCGCGCGCTACTGGACCGCGAAACGTTCCCGACCGACTAGCGACGTCAGTTCAAACCGGAGCGACGCACGAACCGAGCGCTTCGCACCGCCACGTGCCGCTCGTCTCGCGAACCTACCCTTACATATAATCCTCTAACCCCTAACGCACGAAACTCGACCGACATCGACGCACCACAAGGTGAAGCCATTACTATCGACTACTTTTTGGCCCTTTGAAAAAAGTTTATCGACCCCACGCTGCTATAACAACCCTTATTCTTTTCATTGAGTCAGTCGCTCCCCCTAATTATGGGCTCCCCCAAACTTAGTTGAAGTTGAAAAATCCTGACACACTCGGATCTTATTTTTTCATCATGTGTCTGATGTATTACTTTATTCGAAAATCCTATTAACTATACGGAATTTGTTGTTTTGATGAAGAAGATTTAACCTTGATATTGGAAACTGATATACGTAATAGAAGTAGCAAAAGAATTGCGCCATATTGGCCGAACCAGGTCAATAGTGATCCGCTGAACCATGACACGACGTTGACATTGGTGGAGTGATAGTGTTGGATGTCTGTGCTTCGAACTGTGAGCGGAGAGCAGCGGTGCATGGTTGCGTGAGGGCACCCCCGCAGCGGATGTGCACGCCGCTGCCGCCCTGGTGGTTCGTACTGGCTGGAATGCCAGCAGCTCTTGACCTAACTAGGTACTACTACATATGTTCATTTATTATTGTGAAAGCATTTGTTGTTTTATTTTACATGGTTATACAGGGACTTGTAGTGACATTAATTATATTATTTCATGTTACATTTATTTAACCATTTGAATTTAATACGTCCATATAAATAATATAATAGTAAAATTTATTTAACCAACGTGTGTGTAAATCGTTAATAAGTATACTCTTAAAATAAACATATTCACCTTTTAACAGCCTAACACCTGCTTTCAGTATGATAATAATTTGGAACTTGTTTATACTAATGGTCTTAACAATACGATTTTAAATCGAAACATACTAACGTATTGACTGATTCTATATAGTAGCTGTTATTGTTATTGGAACTAAAATAGATCATTATGCGTAATTAAATAACGTTGTAACCGATAATGTTGATGGAGGCGTCAATCATAATATTATCAGGCCGTTGCCCCAAATATGTAGACCTAACAAAGCCCTGTCTGCCAATAATATGATGACGTTATTTTAATATATTAGGTTTATATTATTTAATCTATTGGTAGAAAAGCTGCTTCCGGGCCGACACAACTGAAAGAAATGATATTGAAATTCCAAACTGTCAATGTTTTCATCGTTCACTTTGGTATAAATAAATGTAAAATTTTAAATCTAAGTAAACGATAGGATCTTTATAAATAATATATCTAAAAGGTTGTTTCAAATCTTAAAGTTAAGTGTACTTAAAAATAACTATATACTTGGTTTTATTGATAATGGTGGTGGGGGATAGTGGATTAGATTTAGATTAGAACTTTTGTTTGTCTGTATGTTTGTGTGCGCTAATCTCAGAAACGGCTTAACCGTTTTGGGTGCGGTTTTCACTATTATGGTAAGCTTCACTTGACATTTAGTATTTCAATCGGTTCATAAATAAAAAAGTTTTGTCAATTTAAAGAATTGCCTAGAGGGTGAGTCGCTAGTGAATAACAATATTCGAAAAGACACTGAAAATGATAATAATGATTGTTAAAATGGTATAATATCTAATGAGGCCATTAATTAAATTCTCGCGTTAATAGTTAATTGATAGATTTATTTTCAAAACTTTATAGTTTAATGTATATTTACACGTTTTCTTAGAAGTATCTAACAACTACGCGATAGAAACGGCAAGATATTTCGTTGTTACGTCTTCCAACAACTAGAGTACTGGCACTAATAAGAGAGGTTGTATATAGAAATTGTCTGTGAGATGTGCCAAAATGCCAATACGTTAGTATCGATTATTATGTACTTAAAAACTGGTATGAGAAGAACTGATAAAAAATATTATAGGTATTTGTATTTTGACTGACCAGCGACTCACTCTCGCTTCGCCCAGGATCGTCCCTAGGTTGTTTCCCCATACAAACTTTCATTCCCATTTTCACCCCCTTAAGAGATGATTTCCGGGGTGAAAATTATCCTATGTCCTTCCCAGGGTCTCAAACTATCTTCTTACCAAATTTCATCTAAATCGGTTCAGTAGTTTCGGTGCCTATTCGGTACAAACTCTCTGTTTAAAATACGTTTAAATAAACAAAGAAACAAAACTTTCCTTGTATAATATTAGTATCTATCATAATTATTTTTTTTGCAATCGCAATATCGCTGTATAAAGCATAATTAACAACCTAATATACTATTTTTAGAAGAAAAAAACAAATACAAAATAATTATTAACAAGTCATATAATGATAAAACACAATAAAAGAAGTAGGTAATATTTTTATTGCTACTATCTTTTTATTGTTTTTATTTATAGCGTTTCTCTCGTCTCTTCAAATATCTTAATGTTGGGATACAGTCTACGTTATGTAATTTTTAATGTACTTACTATAAACTCGTAAATATAACTCGCATACATACATTTATCAAAGAAATACAAATACAATATTATAAAGCTCAATACTTCTTCCACGGTACTTTGTTCTTCTTTTTTACTTTTCTTTTTCTACTTCTTCCAAGTACTATGCTAGAAAGTAAAATATTTCTCAAAACTTGATTAGCATAAGGAATTTAACTCTTAAGTAAAATATATGAATTCAAGAAATAAAAGATAAAACACAAAGTAATCAAGTATTAGAGAAGAGATTCTATTATAAAATGAGTATAAAGAACGCTTGAAACTTGCTTCACTATCATGGCTTTTTCTTTTAAAACTTTGTATCCTTTTCATCGCGATCGTGATCCAATTTGCTAAAACTCGTCTGTCTTGCCCTGCTTTATTGAGTTTAAAATGGACTTTTGCTTATCGGAAAGTTTAGAATTTTTGGTACGGATTAGATAAAATTTGATATAATTTATGATTGTTGTTTACACAACTACTTAAAAAGAAAAATTGGCCACTGAATTTATAATTTTTTAGCTGCTTACCTATAGATTTTTAAAATAGTATGCATAACTTGGTTTAGCTCTTATAATCTTATAATTTTTTATTGTTATTAGTCTAAAGAATAGCGCATATTTATGACGCTATACAGACGTGAATGAAATTTAAATTATGTATATGTATATAAGATTATGAAAATATATATGGTATCCTATTTAATTAACACTACATCGAAAAGTGATGAAGTCATACCATTCAAATACATGTAGTCAACCAATACCAGTAGACGTTTATATTAGAATCATTACCACCCACGACGTTCGCAGTAGCTGCACGGTGGCTGCGGAATTTGAGATGCTCTTGTTGACAATTGAACTTTACAGAAATTAAAACGTGTCCAGGATATAATTTAATACGTTGCTTTAACGTGTTGAAATTTGATCATAACAAGAGAACAACAAAGTTGTATTCGTAATAGACATAGTTGCTAATATTGAAGTTTTTAAACGACAAATAAATGGCCAATAAAATCGAGTAATATAAAAATGTATATAATTATAGTTATTAAAATGTAATGTCTTACTATTATAGGTAATTAGCACTACCCGCGGCTTCGCTCGCGCTAAAACTACAAAAAAAAATCTATAAAATGGGAGCTCTCATACAAATTTTCATCCGCTACTATACCCCCTTATATAATGAATTTCGAAAAATGCTAAAACACGTATTTAATTATTTGAATTGAAGAGCATTTATACCAAGTTTCAAGTAATTCTAATCATAAATTTTGAATTGTATTATAACGTGTTTTCCCGTGGGAAAGAGATAATCTCCCGCTTTAATAATTAAATAGAAGCCTATGTCACTCTCCAGTCCTCCAACTATCTCCACATAAAAAATCACGCCAATCCGCTAAACCGTTTTGACGTGAAAGAAAGACAAACAAACACACTTTCACATTTATAATATTAGTATGGATTGTATTAGTTAGGTAACATGTTCTAATATATCAGTTTCACAATAATTACAAGTATTTCTATTTTGTATATTCAAGGGAACATTTCCATTGAGCGCAATGCACCGAAGACGTCCGCTTGCCGTTGTCCCGTTTCCTCGAACCATCAGCGTTTTATCGGAGACAGAGTTCAGTGTACGCGGGTGTATAAACATGTGGCGAGTGCCAGAGGGCCACTACAAGAACCCATGAATACTCGCCTGAGCACTTTGTCGCACTCGCGCTCTAATGTACAGCCCAAACTGACGATAACAGTGCCCATAGCCCTTAGAATATACATACTATTATAGTAATACTTACTATTCATAATATTATTGATTCAATTATCAGCTAACTTCAGTTATTATCATTAAATTGTCTTTACAATAGCATGTAATCAAACTGTAGTTTATGAAGCGTTATTATATAGAAAGTAATATTTATATAGAAACTATAAAGCATTGTCCATATTTTTATAAAAGTGGTTTTGAGTATTATTTATTATTAACAAGGCCGCTGAATTGCGAAATCTCAGATTGTTTTAATGCAAATAGAAGAATAACTCAAGTTTTTGCACACGTGACTATTATTTCATCATTTTATACCTACATATGTCTCGCCTACTTGTTCCTCCACAATTGATATAAATTAAATAACGTACCGACTTCGAAAATATCTGATTAGGTATCTATTCTAAATGAAAACCCCCGTTTAGTTATTTTTTACATTTTAGCGCCTTGAAGTCGGTTTTTTTTTTAGTTTTTATTTTTATATTTTTAGTGTAGACGTAATAAGCAGGTAATTTGTAGGAATAGGAAGAAAGTTTTTAATAGCATATTACATTAAACAATTTGTTTAAAAAAATATTTATTGTTGATTTTTTTAAAAACCGCTCGACCGATTTCGATAAAATTTATATGGGACCACCTGGGAAGTATACCCTTTCAAACAAAACAACAAAATTTTCCAAATCGGTTCGGGCGTCTTCGAGTAATCGGTGAGCATACATAAAAAAAGAGATTCCGACGAATTGAGAACCTCCTCGTTTTTTGGAAGTCGGTTAAAAATCATTTGTCTTGGGTTCTATT